GAATGCAGCAAACGGTTTAGTGAGCTGGGTCATCTGAAGACGCACAAGTTTACTCACGCCGGAGAAAAACCCTACAGGTGTGAGGAGTGCAGCAAGCAGTTCTGTCATATGGCTAATTTGAAGGCGCACATGCGTACACACACAGGGGAGAAACCCTACAGATGTGAGAAGTGCAGCAAACAGTTCAGAATGCTGGCTCATCTGAAGAGACATTTTCGCACTCACACCGGTGAGAAGCTCTACCAGTGTGAGGAATGCAGCAAGCATTTCAGTGAACTGTATAATCTGAAGACACATATGCGCATACTGCCATACACACCGAGGAGAAACCCTACAGATGTGAGGAGTGCAGCAAACAGTTTAGACTTCCGGGTCATCTAAAGAGACACATGAAAACCCATCAAGAAAAGTAATGATATTTTTTTCATTCGGTTCTTGAGGACTTGAGGAAGGCATTGGAATCACAAAACTGGAGACGCCATTGGTTACGAATTGTTGAATGAGAAAGAGCACTATATCATTTGAAAACATCACATTTTCGTTACCCATTTGTTTGCTTGAATTTCTGTTGTTTCATGCACCAATACGAATTAATGGTAATTCTGCACTACTGATGTATTGTTTAGTTTATGTTTTTTAGGAGATGAATTGCAATAAATGCGCAGTTTAGCTCTAAGTTGCTCGTAGTAGCGTTTATCTTTTTGTACGTTTTTGTAGTTACGTCAGTATAGAATAGGATGAAAATTAGTAGCCTATCGCGATTTACATTAGTGTTGTCAATCTGTAGACTGTATAGTAAGCCCACACTAACGCTTGCTTGTTATTGCTTTCTCTCATGTTTCTTCTTCTTTTTCTTCTCCTCCTCCTCCAGTCCTTAATTTCTTCATTTTTGGGCTAAGTAACCAGAAAATTGTTATGGATGTAAAGTAGTCAAATAACAACAAAAGAACGAAAAGAAATGGGTGTGAAACGAAGAGAATCGGGTTTTGAACGAATAGAACTGGCCCGATTAAGCCTTGTTGCATTGTACCTATGGTCCTTCGTACATAATGACCATTGAAAGGCGTGCCAGTCAATGGGCGCTTTGCATTGTGGGTGGCTTGCAGGGAGCTTGAGTTGGTCATACTGTCTTTTGTAGGTGAAGGCCTATTTTTGTAGACACCAATTGATTTGACCCTGAATTTTCTCTGTAACAGTTAAAATGGCGACTGTGAGGTTTGAAAAACGTTTCTTGCTCCTGGCCATCTCTGTTCTGGAGATGTTGCTGTTTTCTGGTATCATCTATGGATGGACGTCCCTGGTGTACATCCTTAAGCAGGAGGGCTACTTCAGCGACTCTTGCAACACCACGACAGCAGGCAGCCAGGTCAGTAAACTGGTTAAAGCGAGGGTCACAACGTTAACCCGCCGTACGTGCATCTGCGTGATGTCTACGTGCAAAAACGTGGGCAACCGTAGGGCATCCGTGCGTGGTGAGTACCGCCTCCGTACGGAATCCTACGGATTTGGTAGCACGCAGACATGCTGTAGAACTTCAAGTGCATGTAAAACTTTTTCTACGTGCGGTCTCGGATTCACCACCCGTACGTGCGAGTACGGGCGACGCGCGTGCCCTGTACAGCCTATGAGCGTACATCGCACGTTTTCAGAAAAACGTAGCAGACGTGGCCACCCAAAAAACGTACGGACAAAAAGCACGCACGGCGGGTTGTGACGAAAAACACGAACATAAACCTTCACTGTCACAGGCAGTTATATTCCTAAATTGCGCCATATCAAAGACAAGTTACTACCAGAAACTATATACATCGAGCTGGGTCTTGCGCAGCGTGGTTTATTCTATTATGATCGCAGCGACGATTATAACTTACGAAAATTTGTTATTGATAATTTTAGTTTTAAACAAAAAGGTCACTTTCACTATTGCATGACTCTTCATACGACCGTCTACATTAGCATGAGAAAGGGAACAAACTTTGGTATGGGAATTTACCAGTTTCTTTTGGACTAAACATGTGAAAACACTAACAATGTGACATTTATGTGAATTTGACGGAAAAACTGAAAATGATGTAATATGATGTGACGAAAGGAAAATATGTACAATCGTTATAAAATTTGTCCATAATGGACAATCCAGAATTGCACAATTATTTGAAAACTGGGGCGAGGATAATTTTGATTGATAAAAAAGGGTCAGACAGAGTACAGTGCAACATTTGGGACCGGTTTCCTCATTATTACATGTTTCTTCTTCATTACATATGTCCAAAATAAGTCTAAGTACTTTTTTTGAATACAAACCATGTCGGTTGGTGGTTATTAGCGTGGCATGATTGTGACAAAGGGTACAAACTTTGGTACGGGAATTTCTTTTGTACTAAGCATAATATTTAAAATAACAGATATACAAATGTGGGATGTATGTGAATTTGACGGAAAAAATGAAAATAATGTAATATAATGTGACTATATGAAAAAATGCAACGTCTCTTTGAAATAGTTTCAAAATGTAAAATTATCGGGACATTCGAGATTTACGCAACTATCTAGAAACTGGGGCGGGGATGATTTTGATTAATTGAAAAGGAGTCAGGCAGAGTGCAGTAGGTCTTTGGGACAGTTCCCTCTGCGTTACATATGTCAAAAATAAGCTTTAGTCTTTCTTTTGTATGCAAACCCATGTCGGTCGGTCGTCATTAGCATGAAATAAGGCCATGTTGATTTGATTATATGGATGACATCCGCGCGCGCATGAATTTTCGCCCGTTTCAAAAAAAAAAGTTTTCAATCATACTGTAAATCGTACAAAACAGTTGCAAAATGGGCAAAAATATACCATAAGTTACAAAAAAATTAATAAAAACTATACCAATGTCGTAGAATGCCAAAATCAAACGAAAAAAGACGAAATTGTAAAGAAATGAACTTGAAGACTAGATTATTCGCCAAACCATATTCTGTGCCATTTGCTCAACCCTCATGACCACGTAGATTTTATAATGAAAAGAACTTTTTTTTGCAAAACTTTTTTTTATTCGCACGCGCGCATCAGTTTTGGGGCTCCCGGAGGATGTCATCCATATAATCAAATCAACATGGCCTTAAGCTTAGCGTGAAAAAGGGAACACCAGTTTCTTTTAGACTAAGAATTTTCTTCAACAGGTTTACACATGCCATGAGATGTAAATTTGATGTAAAAGCTAAAAATAATGGATGTGACTACAGGAAAAACATGAAAAAGCGTCATAAAATTTTCCGAAATGTGGACAATCCAGAATTACGCAACTATCTGAAAACTGGGCCGTGGATCTAGATCTGTATCGGTATAGCCGGCATAACCGCTTTTCAGCGTAACACACCAGGGATAATTTTGATTGATAGAAAAGAGGTCAGACTGCAGTAGGAGATTGGGCGGAATGACCCCTGCGTTACATTTGTCAAGCCTAAGTAATTCTATTCTATTATATATACAAACCCATATTCCCTCCAATAGGTGAGGGTCTGCATGGGGGGGTCCTGGCAACGGTTAACGGTAAATTCAGCAGGACCGAGTGTGAAGACTTCCCAAATCGATGTCCGACTACATTACGGTGCTAAAAGCTGTCTGAGACCTTTAAATATTTACTTGAGGCAGATTTCCTCTATGTATTAGCGTACCCGGATGTCGGCGCATAGGTAGCAGTTCGTAAGGTTAATGACCTTTTCACGCCAAGGCGTGCCAGAGCACCAGCGTTGCACAATGGACACTTTTCGAAGTGGGCGATTCGTAGGGTCATGATGACCTTTGTACATATATGTGTGTCCTAGTTTTTTTGAGACACAGTACAGACTAGCCGGACCAAGAGTTGTCTGTAACAGACAAAATGCAGACTGTGACGTTTGAAAAACGTTTCCTGCACCATTAAGGACCATCAATCTTGAATTTTCAAAAGTAGTTTTTTCTTCAGGATAAAGCCTAAAAAACAGGATAAAGCCTGAAAAACAGACTAAAGACGTTCATATGAACCTTTTTTATAAAAAGAAATGGAAGACTTCGTTTTGATGAAATTTTAAGGAAAATAACCAGTATATACCTGTTCTAATGATATGGTCCGCCATCTTGGATTTTGACCAATGACGTCATCAAATTAGCATAAATTATGCATTTTTTAATTATAAAATTTACATAAGATTATATGGGATGTTATTAATTTTAGCAACCATGTGTAACATGACATAAAACCCATAAAATTCTATTGTTTCGTGCTCCCGTCCATCTCTGTCCTGGATATATCACTGTCGAGTGGTCAATGCATACGTTTTGATAGGTTTCCTCTGCCCTACTTATTTATAAGTTTATATCTCTTTCATATTCTTTTATCACGGCTGTAGTTCTACGTCTTCTAACAGGGAATTCGGCTGCGTGACATCTGTCACGTATAAGGAGTTTTGATCAGTCAGGATTTTCCTTCCAGAAGTTTGTCCTAGATTGCATATTGCTTTGGACCTTTGATTGAAAGAAAAGCCAGGTGCAAGACTAGGTTTAGTACGATTTTGGGGCAATGCCCTCTGTGTTGCATATGTAAAAATGAAAACATAACGTACCATCTTGGCAAAGGTAATAACAAGCCTACTCCTTTGAACACAAACCGGTTCGGTTGATAGAGAAACTAGGGGTCAAATAGAGTCCAGCAGGGCATTTGGGGACAATGTCATGCGATACATGATGTGAAAAAAGAATCCCAAGTAATTCTTTTGTATACAAACCTATTAAGACCCACAATAAGTGTGAAGTCTTCCCATACCTATGTCCGAATACAATATGGTGCTAAAAGCTTACTAATAGATTTATGTTTGCTTGACACAGGTTTTCCCTTTATGTATGAGCGTGCCCGGGTGGCGCATAGTTGGCAGTTGGTAATTGGTTGATGACCTTTGTGTGAAAAGGTGTGCCAGTGTGAAAAGGCGTTGCACAATGAACACTTTGCATTGTGGGTGGTTCACAGGGATCGATGACACTTGTGCCTCCTGCTGTCTGAGACACAGGTTGCTTTTTTTTTACCCGAGAAGAACTTTACCGTGTAACAGTCAAAATGCCGACTGTGAGGTTTGAAAAACGTTTCCTGCTCCTGGCCATCTCAGTTCTGGAGATGTTGCTGTTTTCTGGTATCATCTATGGATGGACGTCACTGGTGTACATCCTTGAACAGGAGGGGTACTTCAGCGACTCTTGTGACGCCGCAACGGGAAACAACTCGCAACAAAATCATCAGGTTAGTAAAAAAGACCACAATCCTGCATCTTTACTGTCGCCGGCTGGGTCGACCAGAAGCTGTTACAAATTTTGCACGCTGACCTTTTGTGGAATTTGTGAATCGGTACTGTACTGAGATATTGAGTTCCGTGGAGCTTGAGTGCCGCCCTCCGTAGTTACCATCGGCTCCCTGTAAACTGTATTGTCACTAGCTACCATGGACCGTAGTACGGAGGATGGCACCCAGGCCAGAGCCTCGGAGGAGGTGTTTTTTTTAGAACAGGCGAAAATCAATGCGCGCCCGTATATGTCATCCATAAAATTAAGTCGGTGTGGCCTAAAGAGAAAAAAAAAATGCTCAAAGTCGTAACAGCCGCTTGTTATCCATGTGTGCACAATGAAAAGGTCGGAGATCTTCAGTCTTTGTTGAGTTTTATTGGAGAAAACTTCAGGTGAACCTACCCGAAACAAAGCCAGGCTCAGAACTAACTCTTAGTCATTTCTCATCTCTATCAACAACCCTGGTCAAACTTGAACTAATTTTTTTAGGACTTGTTTATCTGATCCAGTATAAGGGACTGTTGTCATATATAGCCGTATTTCATTACCTAACCTCAGGTGAACTCAGGTGGATGTCAGTGACCCTCATGTCCCTGCCTGCCCATGAAGCGGAGTGACCTTGTCCTTTAGTTCACCTCCTTAGTGTTAAGATAAACACGATTAAATAAGGACGTTAAAACTATCGTGGAGGTCAAATTTGGGCACAAAACGCGCAACCTTCTTTTGAACCGAATAATGTTCGATATTACGTAACCCGAACAAAACGCGCGTTCGATCCGGGGTCACCTGCGGTCATTTACAATAAATCCGCGACGTCAAGCCCTTTTACACATAAATGGCCTCCAAACTAAAAAAAATCCACCTTTATACAAATCTGATCCGTTTTCTAGACAGTACATGTATGTCGTGGTTTTATATTGTGAATATGTAACAACGAAGCTACTGCCATTATCGTGCGTGACCTTGAAGATCGTAACGTTAATTGTTGTTTATGTCGGTATCAATTACCAGCTCAGTTACCGTCCGGCTGGGTACTGTTACGGGGGCTGTAGTTGTGGGGTTTGATAAATTAGCAAAACATGGAAATTTTGACATCTGATGACGTCCAATTCAGGGGTGATGCACTGGGTCATTTGAGACAAATTTGGCATAAGGTAGCAGAACACAGTTTTCGCCCTATGGGGATTTCTATAGTTAAGGACCCCAAGATGACTCACTTCGACGCGGTAAGAATTATAGCAGGGTGCACTTCACAAATACGAAAATCGAATATGTTTCAGAAGAAGGTACAAACTACAAAATATCTAGAAACCAAAAAATCCTGTCGGCGTATCTGCTCGTAACGTAGACTTTGAAATCGCCCTCTACGGACGTGACCTGAACTGCAGCCGACTCACCCGGAAAGCCAGTTGCGTAATACGGCGCAATTATACACGAACTTCAAAACCTTCACAATTCAAATCACACAGTCTCAAACCCGATACATTCCTACACCACACAGCACAATTTACATCTGGCTGACGCTCTTATCAGGCTCTCTACCCAGCCTTCAAGAATATTCTCTGCACTACTTTCTATACCCGCGTCACAGACCCCCGCCGGGGGTCGCCCATTAATGAAATAACTTTATTGCACAACAGTTGTACATGGTACAAAGTATGGCAAAACTTATCTATAAACTTAACTATGGACTAAACTAACTAATACAGGAGTTTGTGGCTGATATAGGATGTGAATGAACTTTTACAATATTGGAGGAATTTCTTATGTCTAGACATTGTTTGATATACATTCCTATATCTACCATACATGAGTTATCACAGGTCATTATTATCTTAAATTTGCTACTTAAATCCATCGATGTAAATTCTGGTACATATGACGATAGTTTCGTATTTAATGAATTGCGTACATCAACATACTTAGGACATTCCATCAAAAAGTGATACTCATTCTCAACTAGTTCTGGGCAGAATGGACAAACCCTCTGGTCAATAGGAAGCCTTTGAAATCTTCCGGTTTCTATACTGAGTTTGTGACATCCAATTCTGAGTTTTGTGATTGCTCGACGTATGTCAAAGCTCCTTATGTTAGAAAGGTAATTTTCTTGCTTGTAATTCTTGTCTAAGGTGGAAAGGAAAGATAATTTAGAATTGTTTCAAATGGCACAATGCCAGTTTTGTATATAGATATCTTGTAAACGTTGCTTCAGCTGAGTAGTAATTGTGTCTATGTGATATGACTTCGGGTTAAGCCATATGTGCCCAAAACCATTGAGGTTCAGAATGTCTTTCACATGTATAATCCAATCATGTTCTCCAAGCAAGGTAGTATTGTATGCCTCCCGAAGCAGGGCATCTTCGGATAAATTAACTAAGCGATGCCAGTATTTAACGAGTTGTATTTCTGTATTCACCGTAACTGGGAAAGTTCCCAATTCTCCTCTGACACCGTCGTTTGGGGCCTTGGCATGTACGCCTAACAAAAACTTCTGAAAACGCATATCAATAGTGTCGAATTCTGGAATATGTTGATTTGAATGTAGGTTTATAATTTGGAAGCCATTCTCTTGTAAAACTTTGCTATTGACATGTCGCATTAATACTGTGTGCTGCTACCATAAAAGTGCGGTGTCGTAACATGAAACAACACCCCCCCCCCCACCTCACCCAAAAAACCAAATCTGCATTATATGCCATATAGTGATACGTATAAATGCCAGCGCCAAGTTGCATCGTGTATAATTTCTTAATGTTTAAGCTAGGACCACCAATTGGGAGGCTTTTTCATAAAAGTCTGTTGGCAACGATTTCATTGTAATCATAAATGTTAATGATATTTCATGTCACCATGGCAACGGTTTGTTTACAGGTATGTTTTGTAAAATTCATGATTCTTATCAATAGATATGTTTTTTAGTGGTTATTGTTAACTTGCAATATTTTGTTGCATTTTGCAATACATCAAATGAGTTAATATTACTCTCATTAATCAATAAATTTAATAGTATGCTAATGAAAGGTTAAAGGTCCAAATCCAAGAAGGCAAACAATATGGCAACACATCAAGGAACAACAGGCTGTAGTTGACAGCGCAGCGCGCCGACTAGAATCAGCCAGACATGCGGTTGAGCAAAGGGAGGGAAAGAATAATTTTTTTATGATTTGATGTATTAAACTGTATAATAGAAGTGAGGATGAAATCATAAACCAGTTAATACTGTGGGAGCCCACACATGGGAAAAGAAGTCGAGGTCGCCCAGCAAGAAACTACATAAATCAATTAATGGACGACACCTAGCTCGACAGGGAAAACCTGATGGTAGTAATGAAGGATAGGAAGAGATGGAGAGCTATCATTGGCACCGAGGGAAGCTCGACCCAGTGAGTGAGTGAGTGAGTAAACTGTATTAACGGCTATACAGCCAGGAATGCCCAACTAGCCAGAGACTATTATAAAGAGCTAGCCCTCATAAATGGACAATTAACAATGTTGATTACAATTCAGGTACACTAACACATGTAACAGATACGTCATGTATATTGAAATGTGGAAAAAGTCACTCGTAACATTCTATTTTCACGTGTAATTTACTCTCCAAGGAAACCGTTTTTTCATTTTTTCCTGTTGTCACATCATGTTACATTATTTTCACTTTTTACATCAAATCTACATAAGCACCTGTTATTGCCATGGGCGTATGGCAAACGTATAACCTAACGCTGCAATTTTCTTCTTGATTGAAGATCAAATGCCAAGCTGTGACGAATACGTCTACCCAGGATGCACAGTGTTACCCAGAATGCCTTGAACAGGATGAGCGTCTGACGCAAGTGTTCGCCATTTCCGTTGTTGCCAGTCAAGTTGCCTCGCTGTTCGCAGGGATTGGTCTCGACTATTTGGGCCTCCGTTTTACCAGGACGTGCTTCAGGTATGTCTTTGTGGGGTCGTGTGGCGTAGCGGCAGAGTGCGCGACTCGGAACTTAGAGTCCCGGGTTCGAGTCCTGACATGCCACCGATCTTGTGCCCTTGGGAAAGGCACTTTACACGGCTTTCCTCACTTAGTAAAATGAGTATTGTCCTGTCATGTATTTGTCCCCTGTGTTGGTGGGGGCGTTAATATAAGTTGAAAAAAAAACTTGAGTGTGCCGTCACCACGTCTGGTGATTACATGTTGGAATAAAAAAAAAGTATGTCTTTCCGAAAGTAAACATTGCAACAAATTACCAAGTTTGTTTATACTTTCATGAAAAATGGAGGTATTATTTTGGTGTATATAGCATCTATGTGTGTGTGTGTGTGTGTGTGTGTGTTTCCGCAGATTTGTTGTCAGCATAACTGAATGGGTTGCAATGTTATTTGGTCCGGAGAAGACCAAGGTCGAGGAAAATTATGAACCTCCTGGCGGTTGTCCTTGTTGCTGCAGCAGAACGTCAGCATCCTTTTGTCTTGGACTTTGGGGTAGCAGATAGCTTCATATTATGTCAAAAAACGCTGGTAAATACAGAGACTGTGATTATCTTAAGTTAGTAAAATCTTTAGAGGAGGATAACTAAAAAAAAGGAACTACGAATTTTCGTGATTTTGGCCATGTTTGTAGCTTGTAGACAGATGTGCACAATTTTCATTTATTTATGGTAAATAATGGAAATCATAATTCTGACATGTGCAAGTTAGTTAAAGGTAAACATCACTATCATAGATTATGTTAATGTCGTTTGCATCATTACTGATGAAGTGTGAAGCTGGAATTCTACCCAAGGATACGACTTTCACACATTCATGGCCATAATGACGTCCACAATCAGTGAGACAAAACAACAAAATCTAAGAAAGCTAGAAATATTTCATGTAGCAATGGATAATCCAACTCTTGTTTGTACTTGATTTATTGAACTTTTTTGTTTATTTATTTGTTTTTCAAGCACTTTGATCGCCACAGCTGCCTTGCTGCTCGGATTCTCCACAAGAGGTATGTTTTGTTGTTGTTTATGTTGTTTTGAGGTATGTTTTGTTTAAAATAACCCATCAATCGTAAAAAAAGTTTACTTACATTGGGAATGCATTTTCAAATGTCTCTTTTCGTATGTATATAAACTATATGTTTTCAATAAGACAGGTGTTTCGTTCAAACAATGATTATTTATGAACAAGACATTTTGATAGTGATTACAATGTTTTTTGATGACTGATCATTGACGAAATATTTACAATCTTACTTATCTTTTTATTCATTCATTCATTCATTCATTACTTCAATACTTTATTTATGCATTCAATCACCTTTTTTTTAGAGTACCCATATGTCTACCTCGTGTATCCTGGTATGATCATTGTTGGCATGTGCGCTAACATCACTTTACTCGCAAACGTTACGGTAGGTTTTACGTTTCTATTCATTGACGTTTTTGAAAACAACCTGTGTGTTGCTTACTTTGGGTCAGGTCAGTTTTGACATCTACCAAATAATGCAACTTAAAAAAGCTTCTTAAAATCTGAAGAATGACGTAGAACGTTAGCCTGGAGTCCGGCCTTTTATTTTTATGGGTTCACCACACCACGAAGTGGTGTGTGGTGAACCCATATTGCTTTTTCTGGTGTTTCTTCTTCTCCTCCTTCTTCTTCTCCTGCCATTTTTTAAATGGATTCAGCTTCTTCATTTTAGGGACTAAGGTCCTGAAATTTGGTATGGAGGTACAGTGGGCAAATACCCCTAGGCGTTTTTTAAATTTTTGTGATACAGGCTTTTAGTTTTTTGGCTGTGTTATAGCAAATGTATTACTGTGTTAGTGTGCCGTGTTTACCACGTCTGGGCATGAGTCATCACAATGGAATGCAGGGCATTAACCAATAGGCATGCAGCTTTCCTCTATACTTCTTGCTGATTGGCTGTTGGGATTTAACTTGATTAACACCTGCACAGAGCATTTCCACCTGCACAGAGCATTTCTTGCTGATTGGCTGTTGGGATTTAACTTGATTAACACCAGCATAGAGCATTTCCATACTGACAGTATGTCTTTATTCAAGTGTTTTGGTAGGTATTTCAAGCTTTTCTGCTCCAGCATTGGAATGCGGGGCATGAACGTTTTTTTTATTTTGAAAATCAACAGTTTGCATTATGCAATTAAAAATCCTAACCAATAAAGTAGGGAATAGCTATCCAACTGTTGTTTTAGTTGTATGTTACTTCATATTATAGTTATATCAATGTAAATCATTGTTTTCCCTTGTGTTTCTCATTCTTTCCCTGCCATGTCGTAAAATGTGGTGAACCCATCGCTGTATTTGCTCCAAAGCAAATATTGGCCTTTCTAGTTTATTTTTAATTTTTTAATTTTTTAATTTTCTATTTTTTTATCTTTTATCTTTTATCTATTTTTTATTTTTTATTTTTTATTTTTTATTTTTTATTCTTTATTCTTTATTCTTTATTCTTTATTTTTTATTTTTTATTTTTTATTTTTTATTTTTTATTTTTTATTTTTTATTTTTTATTTTTATTTTTATTTTTTATTTTTTATTTTTTATTTCTTATTTCTTGATTTTTATTTTTTTATTTTTTTTATTCTTTATTTTTACATTTTTAATTTTTGTATTTCATTTTCATTATGCATTTGTATTTTTAACATTATGTAAAACATCTGTCATCTCTTAGGTCGGAAACTTATTTGGGTCGCGGAGGTCAACAGTCATCACTATTATAACGGGCTCCTTTGGCTCATCTCCTATCACCTTCCTAGTCACAAAGGTAAGTGTATTGTCTGTCATGAGGGAACAGAAGAGTAGCACATACCCACGTGTACAACGTCACCGTTCATTTTGATTTGCGAGGCTTTCACGTGAGAAACAAATATTTCAAAGTTGAATATGGCTATTAACCGACCATTGCCAAAATAAACTACTATATTCATCCACAATTAGTGTACCTGACAATTATGAAAAAAGAAACGTAAAAAAGTATATAAAAAGAAACATAATTTATGAAACATTCACGTGACAAACACATAAACATTTATTTCAAAGTTGAATGTGGCGACTAACTTGACATTGCCAAAAGGAACAACTATCCATCCAAAATTATATAAAAATACACAGTCTTGACAGCTAATATAGCGGTTAGTATATGAGTGCCTGTTGGTCTAGTAATTGGCCGAATAATTTGTTAGTGTAATGTCTTTAAATAATTCCCATGTATATGATGTAAACAAAAAGAGCGATCGCTCGCACATGTATGTGAGCCGGGTCTCGGTACCTGAGTGTACTTTACCCTGAATAATGGCCTTTTCTCTCATTTAATAGACACTCTGCACCCCCTTCTTTTCCAGTTGCTGTACGTTAATTTTGGCGTGCCCTTTCAACACATGTGTTTCGCCCTGGCTTGTATGTGCGCCCCGTCGCTACTGGCCACCTTTACTCTCTACCCCAAGTACAAGTTCGTTCCTCAAGCAAAACAAGAGAACGGGAAAGACCCAGAGGAAAATGAGAAACCAGAACAGGGTAAAAAATGAATTTCCTAATTTTTGTGTTGCTCTTATGATAGTATAGGGACTAACGGTAGCTTTTTACAGCTTTTAATGTGACAATTGTTGGTGACTTTGCAGGTTCTATTGTTATGCTAGTATGTGATTACGATTTATCATGTAAATATCTATCTATCTATCTATCTATCTATCTATCTATATCTATCTATCTATCTATCTAACTATCTATCTATGTATATCTATCTATCTATGTATCTAATTATCTATCTATCCATGTATATCTATCTAATTATCTATGTATCTAATTATCTATCTATCTATCTATCTATCTATCTATCTATCTATCTATCTTTGTATATCTATCTATCTAATTATCTATCTATCTATCTATATATCTATCTATCTATCTATCTATCTATCCATCTATCGATAGATAGATAGACATAGGTACATACTTTAGGCAGATAGATAGATATAATCTATTTTTTTTACCAGAACCAGAAAATAACTGTGAAGAAAAGAGTGGATCGGCTCGAGCGCCTGGTGAGACATTCGTACAGGTTGTGACGTCACGACTGTACCTCCTGCACCTGGCCTACATCAGTATCATGAACTTGAACGTCATCATCCTGGTCGGCACCGCAAACATCTGGTTCAACACGGTCACCGGAAACAGCAACAACGGACAGGGTGCGTATCATATAAAGCGTAATCAATTGAACCATTATCGAACTTGACCTTCGTCTTTGCTACACCTACCCACCCACTCGAGTTATGTTGTACACATACACAACCCGCTACAGCAACATAGGAACACGACATGTGAACGACTTTTGAACTTGAACTTCGCTTCCCCAACCAATACACACCTACCAAAAACCACAAGATCCATCCTTACCTTTTCGAGTTATGCTCAACACATACACACAAGAAACAAAAAAGTTGGCTGCAGTACAGTTGGAAATCACCAGGTGAATCATTTTCAAACTTGACCTTTGTTTCCACAACCGTTATTTACCTACCAAATATCACGAAGTTCCATCTACAGCTTCCTAAGTTATGCTGCTGACATAAATACAAACCCACACACCACAGCCCCTCCACTATGTCCAAACCCAAAACATCCCCTTCTGGCGAAGACAGTAATAACTAGAAAGGCCAATATTTGCTTTGGAGCAAATACAGCGATGGGTTCACCACATTTTACGACATGGCAGGGAAAGAATGAGAAACACAAGGGAAAACAATGATTTACATTGATATAACTATAATATGAAGTAACATACAACTAAAACAACAGTTGGATAGCTATTCCCTACTTTATTGGTTAGGATTTTTAATTGCATAATGCAAACTGTTGATTTTCAAAATAAATAAAAAAAAACGTTCATGCCCCGCATTCCAATGCTGGAGCAGAAAAAGCTTGAAATACCTACCAAAACACTTGAATAAAGACATACTGTCAGTATGGAAATGCTCTGTGCAGGTGTTAATCAAGTTAAATCCCAACAGCCAATCAGCAAGAAATGCTCTGTGCAGGTGGAAATGCTCTGTGCAGGTGTTAATCAAGTTAAATCCCAACAGCCAATCAGCAAGAAGTATAGAGGAAAGCTGCATGCCTATTGGTTGATGCCCTGCATTCCATTGTGATGACTCATGCCCAGACGTGGTAAACACGGCACACTAACACAGTAATACATTTGCTATAACACAGCCAAAAAACTCAAATAAAACCATTCTAAAAGCCTGTATCACAAAAATTTAAAAAACGCCTAGGGGTATTTGCCCACTGTACCTCCATACCACATTTCAGGACCTTAGGCCCTAAAATGAAGAAGCTGAATCCATTTAAAAAATGGCAGGAGAAGAAGGAGGAGAAGGAGGAGAAGAAACATCAGAAAAAGCAATATGGGTTCACCACCACTTCGTGGTGTGGTGAACCCATAACAAGAAAGAGTGAACTGCATAACTGTTCTGTAATGAGATACATGAGTTGTTCCTCACGTAATCAAAGAAAAAACTGAATGGATACTAAATTGGTCTTGTTATTGGAATTTGGGATAGAAATTACGACTCAATGGTTTGACGTGCGTGCACCAAGGCAGCTAGACAATAATACTGTGACATACAGACTGAAATTGCAACCGTGTGAGAATTAGACGCACAATGCATGTTAATGTGAGAAGTGGAAAGGTACATCTGTAGGGAACAACTGTATTGTATGTTCTGACGAAGCTGAGTAAAAATTACAAGATGACTTTATTCGCTTTCGCAGTGTGAATGACACTGAATTAAAATCAAACTAGAAAGGCCAATATTTGCTTTGGAGCAAATATAGCGATGGGTTCACCACATTTTACGACATGGCAGGGAAAGAATGAGAAACACAAGGGAAAACAATGATTTACATTGATATAACTATAATATGAAGTAACATACAACTAAAACAACAGTTGGATAGCTATTCCCTACTTTATTGGTTAGGATTTTTAATTGCATAATGCAAACTGTTGATTTTCAAAAAAAAAAAAAAAAAACGTTACAATAGCCC